TGACCGGGTGGCGAGAAGGCCAGCTACTCCTAGGCATCCCTGACCTTCCGCACTGTCCCCGTCTTCCTGAGTGGATGCCTGGGTGCAGGCTGAGTCCTGGTAGCTTGCCCTCCCCAGTGAGGGGTTCTGGCCACGGTTGGACCCTATAGAGCCAGGGCAGAGTACGCTGGGGGCTTGGGCAGCCAGTCTGTTACGCTCTCCCCTTCAAAGCACTTCATTGACTTGCTGCTCCTCCTCCTTTACCCCAGTACTGGATGGGGAAGGGTTAATGGTCTTTGCTGGTTGAGGGGGAGTCACTTAATCAGGAGTCGGACCCAGAGGGGTGAGGGGGCACAATCCTCTCCCATGAAGGTCTTCATTACCCTGGGGCCAGAGCCCCACCGCCCCTTCCCAGATATGTATAATAATTTAACACAGTTGCCTGAAAAAAACATTTTTGTAAAGCATTATAGTAATAATTATGGACAAGGCCCAGTGTGTGGCCGTTTTCTTGTGGTTCTTGTGCTGTTGTTTGCTCACCCAGCCCTGGGGACTCTGAGAGAAAGGACAGGCACGGAGCAGTATGGCACTGGCTCTAGTTCAGAAGCCTGAGGGTTTTAGTGGTTGGTGGGGCAACATGGCACGGGAGGCCCCAGGAGGCTGGGCTCTTAGCCTGGAGGCAGAATTCCCAGCCTCATTACCCATCCTCTGGAGCAGCAGGACCAGGCTGCCTTCCTCTGCCTGTTCCTGGACAGGGCCTCCTGGCAGGTGGGGCTCAGGCTTTGTCTTTGCGTCCTACCTGTTGGAACACCTCTGCTGCCGCGCTCACGTGTGGCTGTGGCTGACAGACCAGCAATGATGCAGGCAGAGTTCAGACAAGTCAGGAAGGAGAGTGATGGGGGAGATGGCAGAGGTGGTGTCGATGAGCTGGGCTCTGAAGGTAGAAGCTGAGGCCAGGAAGGCGGTGGAAGGAGCCGTGAGAAACAAGTCCAGAGAGTGTCTGCCCTTCACCAAGTCTTTGAACACCTAGAGTATGTCCAGGAGGGTGCCCTTTGGGGTCAATGGTAAACATATCTTTGCCCCAAAAAACACAAGTTGGGAGGAAGAACAGGCTGTCTCAGTACAGAGTTGTAGGGCCAGACGGAGGGGCATCTAGCCCAGCAGTGGGGCAGGTTGGCTTGTGTGGGTCCAGGCAGAGGTAAGAGCTCAAGGAGACGCCTGGGACCGGTGGGGCTGGACAGAAGGGCACAGACCTGAGTGATGCCAAGTCAGCAGGGAAGGGAAAGTGGTCTCTGGCTAGAATGCAAGGTAGACCAAAAAGGGAGGTGGGACCAGCGTATGGAGGCCTGGGGGGAGGGGGGAGTTAGCTGTGTCCTGGCTGAAGGGCAGCCTGCCACAGGAGCATGGTTGTCATCGCTGTGTGTGGCAGGCAATGGAGTTAGAAGAGCTGAGGGAGGGCCCAGGACTGAGATCATGTGTAAGGGGAGAGATTACTCTGTCTGGCCTGTCTTCACAGGGCGTTTTGTGAGGCTTTGTGGTCAGTGAGCAGGTAAGCCCATACCTGCCTTCAAGGGGGAAACGGAATTTACAGGGAATTTTTTGTTTGGGGTTCTGTTCATGTACCACTTCTCCCAGCCATACAAGTTGAAGCCCTATTACATTGAGTCCTGCCTCCTCCCTACCTCCTCCACATTCTGTCAGTCACAGTTCTGTTGGTTCTGTGGTATCTTTCCCCCCGTCACTTCTTTCCCATGATGGCCGCACCCCTCTGGCTCAAGACCACAGCTCCACTTTCCCCAGCAATCTATGTGCTCTTGGAGCTAAAGCCCAGAGAGCCTTGGTTCTGCCACTTCCTAATCCACAGTGTAAGCAGTTCTCCGCTGCCTGGTGAAATCACCTTCATGAACTACCCATTGTTGATGTAGTTCAGGCCCTTTGGGATCTGTCTCTCCCCCGCCTTAGGCTTCCACATCATCACGCCCTGCTTTGCCTGCCAGCCAGCCTCTGCTCATGCTGTTCTCTGCTAGGAGTGACTTTCCCATCTGTCTGTGGAAATCCCATCCTTTAAGCCAAGCACTATGCAGCACGCCCCTCCCTCTTTCGGCAGGGATGGTGCGAGCTCTGGCCCTGCTGGAGCAAAATGACAGATGAGAAGGTGGTAAGGTTAGAATGAACCTTATGGGGGTGTATGGATTCCTAGATACATCCAGATAGATACTGAAATAAATATGCCTCTGGGTATGACCACTAGGGTTAGAAATATTTGTATATTTCCTAGCCCTGAATGTTCAGAGGGCCTAGAGGCAGTGATACCCCAGTAGCAATGAGCACATATAGTGTCCAAATCTTGGTTTCTAAATACTATTCTTCAATAAAAGGAACCAGAGCTCCTTGGGGAAATTCTGATCTGAAGCAGAGAGAATATAAAATGAGTCTGGAATATCTTATACCATAAAGTAAGAATGTGCTCAATAAAGGAAGGAGGCTTGTCTCGACACAGGAACCAACCTGAAGGAGCACCCAGGTTGCAATGAATTATAAGCCATAGAATACAATCGTGATGAGTCCACTCTGACATAAATTTATACATGGGAGAGAAGGGACAGTTCTTCCTTACAGTAAAATTGCAATTAATAAATGTTTACTGATCTATTAGTGCCATAAAGAAATCAGCGCACAATAGTTTAAAGCAACATAAATACAGTTCTGTAGAAGTCTGGCATAGCCCTGGGTGGGTAGCTTGGTTAGAGCTTTGTCCCAATACACCAAAGTTGCAGGTTGATCCCCAGTCAGGGCACATACAAGGATCAAACAATGAATGCATCAGTAAGTGGAACAACAAATCATTGTTTCTCATGCAAATCAATTAAAAAAAAGTCTGACATGGGTCTCACTTGTGCTGAAATCAAGGTGTCAGAATCCTTTCCCAGCTGCTGGAGGCTACCTGCATTTCTTGGCCTGTGGTCCCCTTCCATCTTCAAACCAGCAACACTGCATCTCTCTACACTTCCAGTTACATCCTTCTCTGACTTCTGCCACCCTTGTAATTACTGGGCCCCCAGACAACCAGGGTAATCTCCATTTTAAGGTCAGGTGATTAAGCAACCTTCACTCCATCTGCTGCCTTAACCTTTCGCTACAGGACCTAACATTCCATTTCTGGGCATGAGGACATGCACATCTTGGGTGAAGAGAGGCTGTTACTCTGCCTACCACCACCTGGATATGTACTGGAGACTTTACATAGAGAGGATAAAGAAGCAAAGTGGGCTTTGAGATGAGGGAGGGAGAAGGCAGATGGATTAATGATATAGAAAGTCATTGAAGGTGGGAATGGTAGAGGTAGATTTAATAGATGGCTACCTAGGTGTTCCCTTTCCCGCAGGGAAGGGTCTCCAATGGCAGAGAAATGCTTGTGCATTTCCTGGAAATGAGATGATGACTGATGACAAGGAATGGAAGCAATAGTTGTGACCATACCTTGAAGAGGAGACAATACAAGATTGGGGAAAGGGGGCTTTTCTCTTCAATTCTCATTAATTCAAGTGAAATATCTAGTTTGAATCAATTTTGTGAGACTGTAACTAAAGTTCCTCTGTGGTTAATCCCAACACAAAGTGGAAAGGTACTTATTTCCATTTTATAGGTAAACATAGTTTTTGAAAATTATTGTCACAAATATAATGTGGCTAAATTGGGCTGTTTCTCTGCTCAACTATTTTTGGTGCTGTTTTATTATTATGGCAAAGTTCGAACATACACAAAAGCAGAAAGAACAATGACCTCATACCTACCTAGCTATAAGGGATCAATCACACCCCAAATCACTTCTGTTTTAAAGCTAATCAGGCATATTTTACCCTTAGTATCGGTATGTACCTCAAAAGCATAAAAAACTAACTCCATTAACACCTAAAAATGTAATAAATCCTTAAACATCAAATATACAGTTTAAAATATTCTAATTTCTTTTTTATAGATGGTGTGTGTGTGTGTGTGTGTTTTGGTTAATCCTCACCCAAGGATATTCTGGATTTTTAGGGAGAGGGAACGAGAGAGAAACATCAATGTGAGAGAAACACATTGACTGGTTGCCTCCTGCATGAACCTGATGACCAAGGCCTGGGCCGGGGAGAAGCCTGCAACCAAGGCACATGCCCTTGACTAGAATCAAACCCGGGACCCTTTGGTCTGCAGGCCGATGCTCTGTCACTGAACCAAACCTGCTAGGGCAATAGTTGGTTTTTTAGATCAAGATCCAAACAAGGTTCGCCACTGTTCTTGCTCCCACATCCATTTTACTCCATAGGTTCTCCCTTTTTTTCCCTCTCCTTGCAATGTGTTTGTTGACAAAACCTGGTCATTGGTTTCTAGAATTGTCCCGTATTCTGGATTTTACTGATTGTACCCCCCAATAACTGGGCTTTGAACCTGGGTCCCTCAAAACCTCAAAGCCCCCCAAAATCACAAGTCACCCTTTCTAACAATACTGTGAGGACTTACCATCTGCCAGACTCTTAATAAATGTTATTACTTCTGACACCTGGCAAGGTATTTATCTTTTTTGTGGATATAACGTACCTTGAAGAGCATGTCCCCAGTGACAAAGTTAAGTGATGCAGCTAATATTACAAGTCCAGTCAGCCCGACTCCACAGCACATGCTTTCCCCCGTACAAGGTAGTCCCAATCATGGCATTGTGGCATTGTCAGTCTCAGTGTACATGAGTGGATGGCAAGCTAATAGTAACAGATAGCTATTCCTGATAAAAGAATTAACCATATCTCGCCAAAAACAGAAAAGAAATAAGACCAGCCAACTGTGGGAGGAGCCAAAGCAATGGCTAGTCTTTATCGGAAACAAGAAACTTTACAGCACATTCTGACTGAGTCAGTGCAGGGCTCAGTGGGACAACTGGTGGGGCACCAGCTTATAATGGGTTCCACAGCTAGGGCATCGCTGGGTCTCGCCTTTGTGCACCCAGAACCAGATGACAGCACTGTTGTCCTCTTCACAAATGAAGCCCAAAGGGGTTGAAGGGCATCTAGTCTAGAAGAGAGGAGACTGGCAATATGAATCTCTTTTCCTCAGACACCTCTGAGACACAAAGTTATGGTTGACACCTTGAGAGATCAGTTCAAGGTATCCCCCCATTTTCCAGATGAGGAAACGGAGGCCCAGAGTTTACCTGTGAGTGAACTGACCATATATCAGAATCAGTGTAGGTTCTAACAGTTCCCCTGCCTGTGCAGCATCCCAAAGGAGGGTCATTCTGATATGCAACCCTACTGCCTAAAATGGTACCTAGCAAAGAGCAAGTACAATAAGTATCTTCTGGATGAATACACCTTCATGGTGCACCTCCAGTGAGCCAGCATTAGATATTCTATGCCGTTGATAGTAAGGATGACCTACTCAGGTATAAGGAGGATTGAGAGGGCCAGGACCCTTAGAACAACTTTTTTACAAACATATCCTCTTTACACACATACAATCCCACAAAAGATGTGAAGCAGTTTTCGGACATCCTGTAGAATAGGGCATATTAAAGAAAAATAAGGAAATAGTGATGAGGTACTTACAAATGCAGCCCACTATTCGCTTGTTGGTGATGGAAGGGACTAAATTAGGGTCTTCCTTGGTCCCTGAAGCTGGCTTTGGGGCTAGCATATTGTATGGGTCCTGAAAAAAACAAGAATTGAGCCATTATGCCAGAGAACCCCTACTCTAACTAGCGCTCCCGTTACCACAGGCAGGTTTCCTGGACCAAATGCTCCCAGAGAGGAGAATGCTCTGGTCCCATCCAAGGTCATGAGCTCCAAAGACAAGGAAGTTTCTGCTCACCAGTCCCTTCCGTGCAGCCAACATGACCTCCCGCTCCAGCCCAGTCGCCTGTTCGTCGTCAGTAGGAACACCGCCTGAAGGAAGATACGTGAATTCTGGTGTCGGCTAAAATTACCAAGGCAGAAAATGCACGCCGTTTAATGAGCTCACAAGCTCTAAAGGCTACCCCAATCCTCTGTCTCCTAAGGACCAGAGTCACGACTCCCCACAGAGACAGCACCAGGGAAATTCTTCCTCCTCCAACCACCGAGGCCAATTTTAGACACATTTTTTTTCTAAAAGCAGGTAAATCAGAGTCCTGGTGGGGTTCGTCCAATTTACCGTGCGGGCGGGTCTGAACGCGGCTCAGCCCCTACCCATCACGCCGGCAGCGCCTAACCCCCCAAGGTCACCGGCACCTCCATTAGGGTTCCTTTCCAGCAGGGTCAGTTAGGCGGGCTGCTCGGCGGGGGCCGGGAGGAACAGGGAAAGTCGGGCGGCGCCTGAGGCCCGCAGGGCTGGGGGCGGTCACGGGCCCGGAGGAGCGGAATGGCCAGCCCCGCCGGTGCTGCGCGAGCACCCCCACCCCCCGGAGGCCGCGGCGCCCGTCCCCGCGCGTCCGGCGGGCCGAGTACCTGCAGACGCCATGGAGCGCACCGCGGCCGCCGCATTGGGACCGCGGGCCCTCAGGGCCTGCGCCACCAGCGCTCCAGTTCCGCGGAGTAACCTTGAAGCCATCACGCCCGCTCCGACAGCAGCACTTCCGGGACAGGCTCTGAAGACAGGCGGGACTTCCTGGGAGGGCTGCTTCCGCCCTGGCGTCAGGCTTCCGCTTCCGCCCTGCCCCGCTCACGTGACTGCCCGGGGACTGAAAAGAATACGTGTGCCCAGTGTTGTCTCGCATTTACCCCCTTGCGACCCGTGGAGGCGTGGGGGTCCTCGCGTCTCGGTTCTGGGTGGCGGGCTTCGCTTTCACCAACGCTGGGATTTGGGGCAGCCCTTTTTGCGCCGTGGGACCCCGTATCCTCGTGGGTGGAATGCGGCAGCCACACTGGCATGCTTGTGCCTGTTGCCTGGCAGTTGTGCTCCCTAAACGTGGAGGTTGCTACGGGAAGTCATTAAGCCTGCGTCTATCAAGGTGCTTGCTGGATCCCAAATGATTTATTTTTTCTCTTTTTATTTTTAATATATTTTTATTGATTTCAGAGAGGAAGAGAGAGGGAGAGATAAAAACATCAATGATGAGAGAGAATCATGGATGGACTGCCTCCTGCACGCCCCCTACTGGGGATCGAGCTCATAACCCCATCATGTGTCCTTGACCATAGTCAACCCGGGTCCCTTCAGTCCACAGGCTGAAGCTCTATCCCAGGGGTCCTCAAACTTTTTAAACAGGGGGCCAGTTCACTGTCCCTCAGACTGTTGGAGGGCCGGACTATAGTTTAAAAAAAAACTATGAACAAATTCCTATGCACACTGCACATATCTTATTTTGAAGTAAAAAAACAAAACGGGAACAAATACAATATTTGTATTTGCATGTGGCCCGCGGGCCGTAGTTTGAGGACCCCTGCTCTATCCACTGAGCCAAACTGTTGAGAGTGTTATAGATGTCCCCCTTCTCTCTCCCCCGCTGTGCCCCTCTATCCAGTTCCCGCCCCAGGCCTTCACCACCCTACTGTTGGACCCCAAATTTAGGAGTGGGCTCCTAGGCCTGTGTTCACTGTCATGCTTGTTCATTGTGATGCTGGTTCTGGCAGCTGGGAGCCAACGCCAACTCGCTGCTTTGGCCTACCCCACAAGAACTCAGGCAGAAAGAACCTACCCTCAGTGCTGGCATCAGTCTGCTGTTACAGGGGTGTTGAGGTGGCAAAGTCATACAAGTGATGAGGGGCAGGAGAGTAGGGCCAGATTTTGGATTTCTTGATGATGGGTGAGAGGGTGGCCACATCCGGAGGTTATCAGCCAAGGAAGAGGTTAAGGGAGGGGCAGCAGGAAGGGAGGTGATATCAGGAAGTGGGATCACAGAACATTCTGTGCCCAGAGTTCTGTTTAAGACGAGTACATCTATAGCTCTGATGGCCTACAACTTAAGTGTGCTAGCTTCTTAGCAGGGTGGGCATTCAAAGACTTTGCAAACACTGCCCTCCACTGGCTCCTAGGACGTTGTTCACATTATAAGTGTAGCCCTGTCACAGTCTGGTTCCATGCCTTATCCGTGTTTCCCTACCAGACAGACTATCCCTTCCGAGCAAGAATTATGCCTTGCACAGGCCTCACATATAATAGGGTCAAATAAAGTTTAGTGTATTTACTGCTTGGACAGAATAAGCAATCTGCTTTGTAGGGCTTTTCGAGTCGGGTGGTCAATTTGAGGCAAATTGGGAAATGGTGAAGTCCCGGGTGTTCCCACCTGTCTCCTGCAGGTTATGGTATTTTCAAAAGGACTTGGTGGAGCACATCTGGTCTTTGTTAGTATACCCTCCATCAAGAAAAAAACAAACTCTTCTGACGCCGAAAATTTTTTGCACCTCATCTAAAGCTGGGTTTTGCTTTAAATCACCTCCACTCTTACTCCCTCACTTCTACTGTAACCCCTCAACAATAAATTGAAACTTTTCCCCTTAAATCCTAGGAATGCTCCCCAAGAACCTACAGTTGATTTGTACCGGTAGTTAAATGTTTAGTGAGGGAAAAAAGCCTTGGTCTGGAAGACAGGTGCTCTGGCATGGAGCCAGCTCAGCCAGTCACTTTTTCTTTTGGCCGCCATTTCCTCCTCATGGAAACTATGACTAGACTAGGTTAGTATTTCCCAAAGCATAGTCCATGGAATCCTAGTCTTGAGAGATGCTCTCAGTACAAAGGACTTGGTCAGGACACCATCAATATGTTTTTAATGATTTCAGAGAGAGGAAGGGAGAAGGGGAGAGAGATGGAAACATCAATAAGAGAGAAACATCGATCAGCTGCTTCATGGCCACCCCTACTGGACCCCAAAAGATTTAAAATTAGGATCAAACCGGCGACCTTCTGTTACATGGGACAATTCTCAACCAACTGAGCAACACCAGTCCAGCTAGATTTACTTAACAATTTTTCTGTATATCATACAACAGTATTAGCTACAATCATCATGTTTACATCACTTCCCTGGTACATATTTATCTTATAACTGGAACTTTGCAACTGGAACACCTTCTTCCAATTCCCAGGACCCCCCCCCCCCACTCCCACCCTCAATCCCTGCCTTTGGTAACCACAACTCTGTTCTCTTTTTCTGTTTGTATTTTAGAGTCCACATCTAAGTGCCATCATACAGTATTTTATTTTATCTGTCTGACTTATTTCACTTAGCATAATACCTTCAAGGTCCATCCATGTTGTTGCAAATGGTAGTATTTTCTATTTTTTATGGTTGAATAATTTATATGCCACAGCTTTTTTTATCCATTCATCCATCAATAAACAGTTTGTTTCCATGTCTTGGCTATTGTGAATAATGCTGCTATAATCATGGGGTTGTGTATCTTATGAAGTTAGCATTTTCATTATCTTTGGGTATACTCCCAGAAGTAGAATTGCTGGGTCACATGGTAGTTCTATTTTTAATTTTTTGAGGACCCTCTATATTGTTTCCTATAGTGTCTGCAGCAATATATGATCATACCAATGAGGACAAGGATTCCCTTTTCTCCACACCCACACCAGCATTTGTTATCTCTTGTCTTTTTTATGATGGCTGTTCTGACAGGTGTGAGGTGGTATCACATTGAGGTTTTAATTGGTCATTAATGATGTTGAGCATCTTTTCATGTACCTGATGGCCTTTTGTAAGTCTTCTTGGAGAAATGTCTATTCAGGTCCTTTGCCCATTTTTAAAATTGTGTTATTTGGGGTTTTTCCATGGAGTTGTAGAGTTCTTTATATGTTTTGGATATTAACTCCTTGTCTGATATAGTTTGCAAATATTTGTCCCATTCCATAGGTTGTCTTTTCACTTTGTTGATGGTTTCTTTTTCTGTGCAGAAGTCTTTTAGTTTGATGTAGTCCCACTTGTTTATTTTTTATTTTGTTGCTTGTCCTTTAAGTGCCATATTTAAAAAATCATTACCGCCGAAACCGGTTTGGCTCGGTGGATAGAGCGTCGGCTTGCAGACTGAAAGGTCCCAGGTTTGATTCCGGTCAAGAGCATGTACCTGGGTTGCGGGCACATCCCCAGTGGGAGATGTGCAGGAGGCAGCTGATCGATGTTTCTCTCTCATCGATGTTTCTAACTCTTTATCTCTCTCCCTTCCTCTCTGTAAAAAATCAATAAAATATATTTTTTTAAAAAATAAATAAATAAAAATAAATAAAAAATCATTACCAAGACCCATGTTAAGGAGCTTTGTTTCTATGTTTTCTTGGAGATTCATGGTTTTAGGTCTCACATATAAGTCTTTAATCCATTTTGAGTTAATTTTTGTGAGTGGTATAAGATATAGGTCCAGTTTCATTTTTTTTTAAAATTCTCACCCCAGGATATGTTTTTATTGCTTTAAAGTGAGAGGAAAGGGGAGGGAGGGAGGGATCAATCGGTTGCCTCCTGTACACGTCCCGACCAGGGACAAACCCACAATCTTTCTGGTGTATGTGACAACACTCCAATCACCTGAGCTACCCAGCAAGGGCAGTTCAGTTTCATTTTTAAAAAATATATGTTTTTTATGATTTCAGAGAGGAAGGAAGAGGGGTAGAGAAATAGAAACATCAATGATGAGAGAGAATCATTGATCAACTGCCTCCTGCATGCCCCCTACAGAGGACTGAGCCTGAAACCCTGGCATGTGACATGACCAGGAATTGAACTATGACCTTCTGGTTCATAGGTTGATGCTCAACCACTGAGCTACACCAGCTGGGCTGAGATTGACTTATTTCATTTTCAAAAATTACATTATTATACAATTAACTAGAGGCCCGGTGCACAAAATTTGTTCACATTAAAAGGGAATTAATTAGAGGAAATATTTTAATATTGCTATTTGCCCTTTCTCTATAATAGAAGTGTCAGAGATGAAAGAAAATTAGTAAAATGTATATGAAAATCTTCCTCCTGTCAGAGTCTGGGGTGCTCCACGGGAACCAGAGTCAAGTCCCTGCCCACCCATGTGCATCTTGAAATTGTGCTAGACCCAGACCCAGCCGGCCCCACACCCATTGGGCTAGATCCAGACCTGGCTGGCCGGACCCCCGTCAAGCCCTGCTGGGTGGGGGATTCGGCCTCAGGTCGCCTGGCCTGGTGCCAGGGTGGGGGATACAGCCTGTGGTCCCCCAACCCGGGGCGGGGTGCATGGCCTGAGGTCCCCCAGCCTGGCACCGGGGCAGGGGGTGTGGCCTCAGGTCCCCTGTCAAGCCCCACGGGAGAGGGGGGGTGCAGCCTCAGGTCCCCTGCCCCAGCCCAGTGCCATACAGCCTCAGGTCCCTGCTGATTGCTCGTTAAGACTCGTTATGGGAACTCAGCTCCGCTGTGGGCACAGCCATCTTGACTGCTATGGTGTGACAGTCAATTTGCATATTCCCTCTTTATTAGATAAGATGATTTTTGTATCTTATTTTGTATCCTGCAACTTTACTCAATTTGTTGATTAGATCTAATAGTTTTTTGGTTAAGTCTTTAGGATTTTCTATATATACAATCATGTCATCTGGAAATAGAAATAATTTACTTATTCCTTTCTAATTCTGGTGCCTTTTATTTCTTTTTCTTGCCTGATTATTTTAGTAAGGACTTCTAGTACTATGTTAAATAG